GCTCCATCCTGCCTTCAAAAAGGCTCAGCCGCTGCCTTTCACGCCTGTGTGAGCAGCGCTGCTGCTTCAGAGGTGCTGTTTCTCTGCGGGGCTGGCTAATGACACCGGGGCCAGGCACTGGCCGAGGTTCGGGGCTCTGTGGCGGGTCCGCTGGGTGGCCCCGGGCAGGTCACTTCACCACGGCGTGAAGCGTGAGTTGTGAGCACCAGCTCTTCGAGGTAGGAACAGGGTGTTACTGTGTGCCTGCAGCGCGCTAACTGCTGAGGCACCTCGGTCTCTGCACAGCCTCCATATGCTACTGTAATGTAAATAATGATGTGGAGATAAAGATGAGGTCAAGGAGCATCTCTAAACGTGATAATTTTCTCTGATGGGAAGATTTCTGTTGCTGTTTCTGGCTGGGCTGGAATTGCGCCAATTTTTGGTCAGTGTCCAAGTAACCGTGCAGAAATACTGTACCAAGGGGGGGGGGGAAAAAGAGGAGTTAGGCTCACATGCTAACATAAAGCTTGCTACCTTCTAATTTTGCAATCAAAACAAATACCATCCTGTCCTGCATGAACAGCAGCAAGGGAGTGAGCCATCCGTTAAGCGTTCAGCGCTGCCAAAGGAAGTGGCAGAACCGTTAGCTGAAGCAGCAGGCTGACTGGCACAGTGCAAATTTCATGGGGCTTTATAGCTTCTTTTAAAATAGTCTCCACCACTGCAGACAGTCTGTGGGCAGCATCAGCTGAGTAAAATGTTATCCTGCTAGTACAGGGAATTATTAACATGTTTTCTCCATGCCAACTGTCTTTCCACTGCCTGGCCTGTGCAAGCAACTCAATGAAAGAAAAGTTCAAAAAAAAAAAAAAAAAATCCTTCCAACCTAGCTGGGGTTTTTTTGATGGCTGGTTTGGCTGAGGGGTGCGCCAAACCCCATAGCTTTGCTGGATGCCACGCTGAGGTTGCAACTTAGCACAAAAGGACAGACTTAAAATCCAGAGAAGCAAGATTTATTTGAGAGTTCGGGTTTGGGTTTTGTTATCGTCTCAGACCGGGATGAGTAAGACGGAGGAGAAATGCTCTGTGTGGGAAGCGGTGTGTGCTCTTCATGTATGATACCAGAAGGGTGTACTTTAAATTTGTAATATCAAAACTGTACGTGTGCAGCCAGAAAAAACAAAAGCAACTTCTTCTACTTGAACATTACAGGTCTGAGGAACAGGGAAAGTAGTAATTTAAAAATTTAAATTTAAGTTGATACTTCAGGGCTGAAAGAAGCCCAACTTTAGGCCCTCACTGGAAGATGCACACAATCTCTGTGCCAGGGCTGGTTTTGGCAGTCTTCGTTCCAGGCTCGTACGGTGATGTCCTCGTTCGCAGCCGGGCTCTGCCATAGTTTAAATAATTATTGATACTAATGCAATTTCAGTAGATGCTGAAGTGCTCAGATTAGAGCTGTGTATTTTGATTCTACTTGTAGTGAGGGCACAATTTGTGTAAGCTTGCTTGTTTCTTCTGTGTGAGTCTACTTAAGTGGGATGATTTGTATGGTAAGTTGGGATGTCAGATGGTCATGCATCTCACTTTCCTCGTTTGATAAATGAGGTCTGACAAGTAGTAGATTTCTCAGACAGGGCCATGGCCTCTCTGAATTCACTGTCGTATGCTTTTGGACATTTCCAAAGCATTTGCACCCTCAGCTTCCAGATTCCTCATAATCCTGCTTGTTACGGTCTTAAAAAGAGTATCATTTTGAAACTTTAGATGTAAAGGAATAGCTATAGAAACAAATTCTTAGTTTTAAAAATCAAGGAATAATCTGATATCAAAGCAGCTTCCCCAGCAAATGATGAGGAAGCGGATGGACCGAGGCTTAAAAGGGTGCAGTGAGGCACAGGCACGTTAAAGCTGTATTGATGCCAGGAACAGACACCTCCAGCGCTGCTGAGATAGCCCAGGTAGCTATTCCTGTCTTTCAGCTGCAGGATCCAGCATTTAAGTGACAGTGCTGCTGAGAGGTTTGGGGGTTGTAACCCCTTTTGGTTGTAATAACCAATGAGTTGGAGCATGCAAGTTGCAAAGAGGATCAGCTGTCAGAGGACTAGCTGAGTTGGCTGTCATGATTCTGCCCTTCCTACTTTTGGTAATGTTCTTAATTAAAATCCTTTCTGAGTTGTGTCACTGATGACTTTTACATGCCTCTCTTACGTGGACTGTACAAGCCTTGTTTAAGCTTGATGATGAAAAGGTGCACGTGAAGAGGCAGTGCATGTCCCAGAGACTTTGCAGGCGGGCTGGGTGGAGCAGATGAAGACAGAAAGGATCTATCGCTATCGCCATGGCACAGATGAGGAGCTGTGGTGTAAAGATACTGAACGCCTTGGGATAAAGTCGGAGAGGGATTTTGGGAGAGGCAGGAGCTAGATCAGTGGGTTTTGAATTACAGTTCTGGGATTTAATAAAAATTAATTTGAAAAAATTCCGTATCGAATAGAGTTTGAGAGGTAGGAGGACATCAGGTAATTCAAATGAAAAGAGAATCATTTCATTAGGTTATTTAAAGGGAAGACTTAAGTTATGCTGCATGGTTTCAAACTTATGACTGAAATGCAGTAGGAATTTCTCTCTGTGGGTGTCTTATTTCCCATCAATCCTTGCATTGAATTCAGTTTGTTAATCAAGAAGACAGCAAACAAAATGCTTCAGTGGTGGTCACCAGGGGCCTGCAGTCAGCATTGCATACACTTGGATGATGGATGTTGTTCAGAGGCCTTGGGGTCTGAAATCCATTCAGGGAGCTCCCCGAAGGAAACTGTGAAACTTCCTAATTATCTTTTTTTCTGCTTTTTAATTCTTTGTCTGTTTCCCCCTCTTTGATCTGAAGATTGCATTTTGCAATATTTCTGCTGCTCCTTTGAGTTGATGGAACGTCCGGAGAAGATGCTTATCCAGTTTCTTCCAAATCTGAAATTCCAAGTAGCATCCTAGTTCTGAAATTCCTTGCCCAAAGGATGCCAGCATTCCTCCTGGCTGCTTGGTATCACCCTGCTTGCCTGCAGCAGCACGACCAGCATGATCCCATGAGAGGGCTGGGGATCAGAGACTAGTCCTTTTTTGAACTACTAAGCTGTACTCTTGACTTACCAAAGAACAGGGACCAGAGGCCTGATTCTGGATCTGTGTTTGTGGCATATGCAGGGCACAAGAAAGTCCTACTGTCATCCCTGCTTTTTCTACATCCTTGGAATGTAATGGGTTTCGTGAACGGATGGTGGCAGAGTCATAACTGCTCTTGTCCCCTGCACACATAAGCACGTGTACTCACACACGGATTTCGTTTAGGTTTTTAACAATTTCATTTTCCATAGAAGCACTATAAAAAATTAGCTGTACAATTAACTCTCAAAAAAATAGATCAGATGTGGTTTCTGGAGCCGGGGACACCTATGAGCAAAGCCAAACTGGCCCACAGCAAGGTGCACCCAGTGGCTGCAGCACCCGGCGCCCTCGGGTGTCCCTGATGGCTGTGTCACCCTGAGCACCACTTGCTTTAGGGTGTAGTTCTCTGTGCCACAACGTCACCAGGGTGCTGGAGTGTTCTCCTGGGTACGGAGCTGCTGGGGCAGCAGCTGGCCTCCAGAATCCAAATGCCTCTGCTACCTGGGCAAGCCTGAGAAGATGGATATTTAAACATTCCTCTCTGCTGCAGATCTGTTTCTGTTTGTACACATCTATTTTTATAAAATTCCTCCAAATTAAGCATGTGTTTACTTTTTGCCATCATTGAATCAGCAGCTCAGAGGGTAAGTTGATGTTCTATATTTAGTCTAGATACTCAGTAGAGATGATTAGGGATGTATCAAAGAAGAGGGTTTTGGGTTTTTTTCCTAGGATGTTTTGCTACTCTCTCCTCCTTCCTGTGTTACTGCAGCTTCTGTCTCTGCTCATGTTTCTCTGTGCCACCAAAAAGCATGTGTCGGTGAGAGTATTTGTGTGGCTTTCTGAACATATTTGAAGTAATTTTCCTCTATAAAGTAATTGTGGTCTGTTTGCCATGAGAAGAGTAGCTGCAGTCCTGATGTGAACTGAAATATCAAATGTTTATGGAAGATGACATGGCAAAGCTGTTTACGATATGGTATACAAGAAACAGTGATACTAGACTGTTTTTTCTTTTCCCTGCAGTTTGCTGGAGGAAAAATAGATCAATTTGTGATTCTCCTGTATTTCATATGTGCCTTTAAGAGAGAGCACGACAGTGGTCTCTTAGCCAGATCATGGGATACAAGTATGATATTAATTATTATTTATATTGAGCCTGTATCTTGAGACTTCCATACGAAACTGAGGACCCAGTCATGTACGTGTAGTAAGGGACATAGTAAAACATTTACGAGATTCATAGTGCAGATGGCTTCCAGTTAGGATGCTTCTGGTGACACCTTTCATTCACAGCTGTTCACAGCACCTCCCTCTGTCCCTTCATTCATTTCCCTGGATTGAGGTCCTCTGACAGCTGTCATCTGCTCTTGATTATGGGATTTTAGACTAACGATTGCACCAGCGTAGGGACTTGTAAGCTGACCCAGTGCCAGCCAGCGTGGGTCTAGAGACAATGCAGTTACGTTTGTGTGGAGCTACAAGCTATGGATTTAGTAGCTTGGATCAGCGCGTTCGTGGGAGACTGCATTACATCCTCCCTGTATTCCCTAACCGTATGTTTGTGCTACCCCCTGTGTTTCCTTCACACAAAGATGCTCTCTGAGCTAGATAAAGCAAGAACAAGTCCTGCGAAGCTTACTGGCTCTCTGCAGGCTTTGAATTTGGGAATTGCTGTTCCACTGTCTCTTGGGTCTTGAACAGTGCCCATCATCAAGATGGTGTGTTGCAGGGAATGAAGCAGATGGGGTAAAGAGCCTGAATTCAAACACTGTCAACAGCAGAAGTGCCCTAACATGCCTACTTCAAGTAAATATCTGTATTTACACGTTGTCCTCCTCTTCTCATTTGATCTAGGTTGTATGGTTGGACCCTGGAAATGGGATGTCAGTCCCGTTCAGGGAGCATAAAGGAAGAAAGAAAATCTCCCAGTTGCTGCTGCTGTGACAGCGAGTGAGAGCAAGAGCAGGAAAATGTCGACAGTCACGTCAGCAATCCAGGCTCCTCAGGGCCCGGTGAATCCGCCACCTCCGGAGGTCACTAATCCTAATAAGCCTGGCCGGAAGACCAACCAATTGCAATACATGCAAAATGTTGTGGTAAAGACCTTGTGGAAGCATCAGTTTGCTTGGCCTTTCTACCAACCTGTTGATGCAATTAAATTGAATTTGCCGGTATGTATCTTACCATCTTCTGCTTGGTGTTCTGTTCTTAAAAAGCTTGGTGTTGGTGAGGTCGGTTTTCTAATCACTGGATCAGAATGGTTAGGTTGCTTTTGGGGATTTCCTTGAATGCTCTTAGACTCACCAAATTAGAAGATGATGTCTTTCAGAGCTGGAGAGGTGCAGGTCCCCGAAGGAGAAAATTGCTTCTCACTTAGTGACGGAAGAGAAGAGCACACAGGCAAGCTGTCTTAGAGCAACTGAAGCATAGTGCTTTCTTTGTAGCTGACATCTGTTTACTTGTTTGTGTCTTCACCCCTTGTCCCACCTCTGTCCAATTTGAGAGAGTCTCGAAGCCCGTGCTTTTCTGAGCATTTGGCATTGGGCTCCGTGTAACTTGTGTTCTCGATAGGCTTTCCTGGATTTCCACTGACTTCAGTGTTGAGGAAGACTGGAGAAGCTGACTGCCAAGGATGCTTTGGAGCTAGATATTTTCAAATGCTGTACTGGAAGTAGAAACAGCAGAACAGTTGCATTTACCCATCTGCATCCTGTACCTGATGATACGTACCCTGTCCCTGTCAGACCAGATAGTACAAGATATAGCCTGGTTATTCATAAATGACCGAAGTTTACTAAGCTTGTTTCTTTCAGGAAACAGAGCCACGCATTCTTCACTTCTTCAAAGGGGTCCTGTCAGTGTAGACCCCCAGCAGTGGAGGCATACCCCTACCCACCTGCTTCACTTAAATACAGACCCCACCACCCTGCCGGCCACGCTGCTGTTTGCTCAGCCGGGCAGCCCTTTGCGACTTAACTCTGGCTGCTTTGAGCAAGAGGGTTGCATGTAGGATTCGAGGGAGCGTGGTTCTGGGATATAAGGTCAGGAGAGCTCCAATTACTGCAGGTTATAACCCAATGGACTGTTATCAGGAGTCTTTTGAACTCTGTAACTGTTGTTGATGGGTACTATTTAAAGTGTTAGCCAAAAGAGTAAACCACTTAACACCTGTATAATATTTCTCTAGGTCTGTGCTTCTTTATGTCTTCTTTTTGTGGGTTTAGTTTCTCAGTGAGGCATTTTGAGGTGGTTTTAGGGCAGGTTACCAGAAAATTTAAAGGAGGAGTCAGTTGGGAGAATAGTGTCTTTCAGGTGTGGCCTAAATCCGCACAAGCCCAGCAGCCAGCAGGATTGCCTTTTCTGCCCTAGCGTGCCTTGCCTGGCAGTATCGGTCCCTCAGATCGTGCTTGAGGGTTGGGCTCGGAGAGTGGCCCGTGGCTGTACGTGGCTTCAGGTGCACGTGCAGCAGGAGGGCTTGCTGCTGCTCTTCTCCAGAATGAGAAAATGACAGTGTATAACTTGCATGCCTAGAGCATCTCCAGGCTAATCGCAGTCTCTACAGATGCTAGAAACCAGCCCAAAGAGAAACTGGGTTGACATGTGAAAGCCTTTTAAGGACTGAAATGCCTGTAAAAGAGAGACTGAAACTTTTAGCACAGTCTGATCCAGTGCTGGCACTGATAAACTTCTGTAAGCGCCAGAGGCAGCCCTTTTGAAACGAGAGGCAGAAATGCTGTTTCCCAAATCGCAGGCAGGTCACTGTTACACCGACCACCCTGCCAAAGCTGGTGCTGACCCTGCTGCCAGATTTGTGGTCCCATGTGGGCGTGAAGCGCGTCGCCACAGCGTTCGTCTGGCTATCGAGTGTGGTGCCCTTCCAAAACGGCACCTAGAGCCTCGTAAGAGGCGTCAAGGCTGCAAACAGCTTCCAGGGGGAGCTGCTCAGAAAGCATGTTTTCCTCCACGTGTTACTCTTAGTGTCTTCCCAGTCCAGCTGTCCTTATGAAAAGCAGGTAATGTCCAAGTAGCCGTTTCTCTGTGTGTGTTTGAGCAGGTACTGGGGGGAGCTGGGAAAGACTGGTGGTTTGGGGAAGGAGTTCTTGTGCTTTGTAGTCGAGTTCATAGTAATGATGGACTAAAAGGCTACAAATTAGAAATTAAATGAAAGCAAAGGTGATATTTACAATTTCCACAAAAATTTGGGGGAGTGTTTTTTGGGAGGAGGAATCAGGAGAAAGCTAGGACTAGAGGGAGAAGTGAACAACGCTCCGTGTATCAGGAGATGTAACGTCTTTCCTGTTTCTCCCAACAGGATTATCACAAAATAATAAAAAACCCCATGGACATGGGGACGATCAAGAAGCGCCTGGAACATAACTATTACTGGAGTGCCAGTGAATGTATGCAGGATTTCAACACCATGTTTACAAATTGTTACATTTATAACAAGGTAAAGAGCCCAGACAAGCATTTAGCTGGGGCACTGCCTAGAAAAGACCCACCTACTACTGTCATAGTGCAGGTTTTGAACAGGGCCACCTCCGCTGTGCTCCAGGCTTTCCTTGCAAGGATTTGAAATGCCACTAATTGCAACCACATTACTCAAAATGCACAAAGCTGTCTTTGTGCTGTGTCTTTCTTCCCCCAGACTAGTTAAAATGGCAAATGTGCCTTTTAATTATAGGTAGATTTCTGTTCTGGGGTTACATAGCAAGTTTTTACTCCTTTTATTTTCAGTTCGGAATTCTTTAAGGCGCGCTACAGGTTATGCAGTGCTTTGCAGGTGTTCTGTGGAGTATTAGTGCTGTGTGTTACGCTGGCTGTCTAGCAGTAAATAGCATCTCTTAGCAGCAGAGAGCACTTCAGGAAAGGTAACTGTTCTCTGCCTAGGTCTCGTCCATACTTGCACACCTTTAGATTGGTTATTATTATTATTTTGGGTTTGGCTCGTTTGCTGTTTTGTTAGGTTGTTAAAAGCCTCTGTTCTTTATATTATGTTTTTACATAGTGGTTTTTCATCATTGACCCATACTGGAGCACAAGCTGAAATAAACAAATTAATTAGTTTGAGCACAGAGTAAGTGTTTACACTCTTCTCTTGGACCTGCTGGCAAGCAGGGGAGGACAGCTCATCTGTTCCAGTTTGCTGCTTCCACGCTGTTGCACAGGATGCTAGTTAGCAGGCTCCTACTGGAAGTCCTGATAACTCTCTGGATGCAGTGTACTTAGAGGCTGTAATTATTGCATGCTAGACCAGAACAGAAGAGCAGGAGGGTAGCATGCGAGGAGGAAGAAGAGCTAGTCTGTTTGTTGTCAGGGCTTAGATACTGTCGCTTATTTGAAGGGCAGTGACGTTGGGGATTTCAAAGCCTGATCTTGAACCTCTCTGCTTCTAATATGGATGATCCAGCATAGCTTTATGTTCTTCTTTCTGCAGCCCACAGATGACATCGTCCTCATGGCCCAAGCCCTGGAGAAGATATTTCTGCAGAAGGTTGCCCAGATGCCTCAGGAGGAAGTGGAATTATTACCCCCAGTTCCTAAAGGCAAAGGTCGCAAGCCATCAGCGGGCACGCAGAGTGCAGGTACTCACCTGATGCAGTGACATTAAATGTTACCAGCCTGTTGCTGAGGCCTGAGACACCTCCCGAGCTGCCTGGCTTTGCAGGTGGTGAAGAGGCTAGGAAGGGAGCCTGTAGTCTTAACAGTTAAAGCAGTGGAGAGGAAAGTACGAGATGTCTAGATAACGTTCAGCCAGTGTCAGGGCTTGTCCGTCTAAGGCCGCTCTGCGTTTGTCATGCAAACATCTTACCATCTGTGACTTACCCATCCATGCAGCGCTTCAGTGAGGGAGGGCAATGCTGTTGCTTTCTGTATGCAAAGAAGAAACCGAGGCAAGAAGAGGCAAGGTAGTTAGACATGCCAGTCCCCTGCAAGTGACAGACCATGGCAAAGAACGCCTTTACAGACCTGGGTTTGTACGGCTCACCGAGTGTCCTGGCAGAAGTCTGACACAGCAGAGACTTGGACTCAAACCTTACTGATCCCTTAAACCCCATATAACATTTTTATTTTGCGCATGCAGGTGCCACATCATCGAATAAAGTTTGATGAACAGAAAGGATCGGTTAAGCCATTGCAAAAGGCTATGTAGACCATCGCATAGCAGTAGAAACTTAAGTTTAGTTCAGCTTACCTAGAGTTGATTTTTAAATGGATTTAGGACTAAAACATCTGTAAGCACAGTAAAACAGTTCATATAAGAGCTTGTGTGGGCTGAATTAAACTGTTGCAAATTTTGTTCTGTAAACAAGGTCTAATTGTTGCTCTGGGAAAGTCAACTGTTCCTCTTTGTTTTCCCACATCTCAGGTGCCAAATGGAGCTGCAACTTCATCCAAGCTCAGGGAAATTTGTGATGATGTCTCTTTTCAGCATCCTTTGATAAAAGCTGCTATAAAAACGTAGAAGAGTATTGCTACTTTGGTTATTAGTTACTAGATTTGTCCCCTTACTTTACACTAGTAGGCAGTTCTTTAATAGTGCAGGTCTAGCATGAGGCGTTTGCCTGGCTATCAGGAGACTGACTTTGTGGCAAATCTGAAGTGTTTTGGACTCTTGGGTGTACAGCTGGCAATAGGGGAGTGATTGTTACCATTTGTCATGCGTAGGAAAAACCACTCCCAGATTGAGGTCTGTGCAGGACAGCAGCTGCCCAACAGAGCCGTATCCCTCCGTTCCCTCTCCTTGAGCTCCTGCTCTTTTGCTGAGTGCAGGGTAGCTCAGAGCACGAGAGGAGTGAAGACACCCCAGAGCAGCCCATGTGCAAAGCGTGAAGTATCTTGCTTGCATGTGGCTGGCCTGGGACTCGTGGTACAAGCACTTAGGTCAGTGATTTCTCATTTTTTGTTGACCCCTGGGTAACAGCACCAAGCAAATCACGCTGTGTCCTTTGTGCCCTTCCTGTGGCCCTGGACCGGGAGCCTTTTGCTAAGCCTGGGATTGTACCGTCCAGTGGCGCCAGCGTCACGTTGTTCCCAGTGTCTCGTCGGCACTTGTAACCATCGGTACGTTGCAGTCAGCGCCTTTTCCCTTTGTCGTTTGAAAGGAGCGCAGCAAGCAGTGGCCGTGTCTTCCGTCTCCCCGCCGGCCCCGTTCCAGAGCGTCCCTCCAGCCGTGTCTCAGACGCCCGTCATTGCTGCCACCCCTGTGCCAACCATCACCGCTAATGTCCCGCCTGTCACTGCCCCTCCCGCCGCTGCTCCCCCTCCGCCTGCTGCTCCGATAATGCCTGTGGTGCCTCCTACGCCACCAGTAGTCAAGGTAAATGGAGAACTCGACCCCTTCCTCTTCAGAAGGCAATGTTGCTGAGCAGTGCTTTGTTTTCATCCCCTCACTGCTGGTTACACGCATTCCTTCTTCACATTTGACTTCTTGCCTCTCTGGCCATCGTTGTCCCTTTGGGGTGTGCTCAGACAAGTGCTTGCTGTCGAGTTTCAGAGGGTTGAGAGGAGTTTTGCCAGTTTTACTGCACCCCAGCTGAGGTGATGTCAGCTGTAATTGCTCCAGCTCAGTTACAAGCTTTCATCTGACCATAGCCTTAGCCTGATGCTCCATGAACCAAGATGCTGTTGGAGACTTCCCCCCATTTCGCACCATACAGGCCAAAGCATCTCTTCCCTCTCACCGAGCCCCTGATTTTACTGGGACTATTCCTTTAAGGTTTGCAGACTCCGGCACTAGGAATGTTCCTCTCTGCCATAAACCAGTTCAAGACAAGCCTGTCCCTCCAGTTGGAGGAGACTGATGTTGCCTGCAGGTTTTGGGTGCATTAGTTCTGTCTTCCTTACTGAGTAATCTTGTGGGAGTTGTCATTGCTGTTTTGCTATTTCCTATGTTAATTTATGAGTAAATGAAAACGTTGCTCTAAATAATTGGAATTTTCCTAGCAAGCTGTGTAATGCTTTAAAAATGATGAAAGCATAGCTCAGAGAAAACTGGTTGTTTTTTTCTAAACTGGGGAATTAACTGCAACAGTATTTGGTGTTCTCTAATGTGAGGTTGCATGGACCAGCAGAGCCACAGAATTGTTTTGCTTATTTAACGCTGTAGTTTGGGAATTACCAGAGAAAATTTAAGTCAGATCTTCCTGCAGCTAAGCTGTCCTCCTCAGAAGCCTGTCTCACACTTGAGTTTCTATCCAAATAACTGGTTTCTGAGAGTCAATTTAATTTTAAAACTCAAGGATGAACCCAGAAGTGAGTTTGTCAGATATATGCTGCAAAAATACTTCTGCTTGGGATTTACTGAAGATTTCCCTTAGATTTCCCTAAGGAACTTCCCCCCACCCCCCCTTCTCTCTCTCTCAAGAGAAACAGATCCTTCATCGGAGCACAAGAGAGAGCTGACAGGACAGTCACAGCTTGAATTTGTATGAGAGAGGTTTTGTTTGCTTAAGGCAAAATCATTAAATTCTTGCTCTTGTCCATAATAAGCAATCTACTTTAGCACACCCACTAAATACAAGGGAGCGAGGGCTCATGGGTCTTTGGTGATTAATATGCTTTGGTTCAGAACTTAGAGCCTGATCCTGCCACTGGGGACTCAGAAATGTGGTTAAGTTACTGACACTTACTAAGTCACGATGCATCAGCTGAGCTGCAGTAATCGACTGGGCGCACTCCTTTCCCTTGGCAAACACGAGGTAAGAGTCCTTAGTTTAAATCTCAGTGAAATGCATAGAGCTTAACACGTTTTGTGTCATGTTTGGGGTTGGGTTGGAGACGTGCAAATGGCTGGTTACTGTGGCTCAGATGACGTGCAGTAATACATCGTGTTGTAGTCACCGAACTGTGTGTCGAAGCCTCTAGTCACAGGTCCCATTTCTCCCAGTGAAGTAATTGTATTTTCTGTCGGAGGGCAGGCAGATCTCAAAAATAAGGATGAACTGTGCTAGGTTTCTGCTAGTGTAGCACGAGAGCTGGGCACGTACTCATGAAGTCTGTCCATCTGCTGTTTCAGAAAAAGGGAGTGAAGCGGAAAGCAGACACGACCACCCCCACCACCTCTGCGATCACTGCCAGCCGGAGCGAGTCGCCCACGCCCCTCTCGGACCCCAAGCAGGCCAAAATCATCGCTCGACGGGAGAGCGGTGGCCGGCCCATCAAACCACCAAAGAAAGACCTTGAAGATGGAGAGGTCCCCCAGCACGCAGGGAAGAAGGGCAAACTCTCCGAGCACCTCAAGTACTGTGACAGCATTCTCAAGGAGATGCTCTCGAAGAAGCATGCAGCCTATGCATGGCCCTTTTACAAGCCTGTTGATGCAGAGGCCTTGGAATTACATGACTATCATGATATTATCAAACACCCCATGGATCTCAGTACTGTTAAAGTACGTCCACATTTACCACCTCTTTTGCAGGGTGTCACAGCCCTCTGGTTCCAGAGGACTGGCTCCTTCTGGGGGAGGGGGAAGGGACAAGGGTGGAAAACTGAACCTGTTTGGATATCATCTGGATATTTTTATATTTTGTTTCCTTCCCCTCTCCTTTTTTTCCCTGTAACCTGGGACATCTTTATTATTTTTTTTTCTGCCTGCAAAGCAGACTGTACGATGGCATCCTCTCGTCCTTGTGGATAGTCCAGCTGTTTAAACTTGTGTCCTTGGGATTGTGTTGCGCTCTGAGAAGAAGAGGTGCTGTATTTCATAGGATTTGATTGATAGTCTCCCATTTCCAGAAACTGCTGCCTGCCTACTTGTTGGCATGATGTGTGATCCAGATAGGCTTATGCTGAGCAATTCCAACTGGAACATCATGATCACCTGGTGCTCGGGGAGGGGAGGAAGTAATGTGGTGCTTGTGTGGTTCGTGCTCGGCTCTTCGAGAGCTTAGCTTAGCATGGTCCAATATTCAAGGTGTGTTTCCCAGTAGACTGGGAGGTTTTCTGAATCCCTTCTAAATATCCATGGAGCAAAGCCGTGTTTTTCTAGGTCCCACCTTCTGCTTGTAAGCCAGCCGTTGGAATCAGTGTTGGTGGAGGTGAGACTTTCTTCAGTGTGCAGGAAGTTAAGGTATTTCTGCTGGCTTTCACTAGCGTGCCAGAAGTGTTTTGCTGCTAGCTGAGCCAATGCCTGGGATTGTCTGAATACCCAGGTGAAAAAAGGGCAGTTGCATTCGTGGTTCCTTTCATGTTCCTTGGCAAATCCGGGAAGCAGTGTGTCATGGTCCGATGTGCCATGCCATTCAGCCGTGATGCTGCAGGGGTTCTTACTATAGCTGCAATACTTTCATGAGTATTTTAGTTTCGTTATTTAGCGGTGAGAGAATAGTTGTCATGGTCTGCACATGGAAGATTAGACCAGAGTTACTGGTGTCTGAGTTTTAATTGCTGCATATGATGCTGTAGTCCTGGACGAGTTTCTGAATAGCTCTGTGCTGTAGTTTTCCCAGTCATAAAATGGAGAGAATAACACTGACCCTACCTCACAGGGCTGTTGTGAGGACAGATATCTGGAAGGCTCTAAGTACTAATTATTATTATTGATTGGGTTTGTACAGAAGAAACCGTCTCTGAGCTAGCATTGTAAGCAAGCTCTGGTGGACCTAGGCTTGGAGACCATTCTCCTCCTGAGCTTGCAGTGCCCTCACTTTGTTTACAAAAGCCAGTGCAACACGCAGTATTTTTGGCTTGCAGTTAAGCCGAGCTGTGTTAGCAGCAGCTTCCTGGCAGGAGAGGAGGGCAAGACGAAGGGTGAGTTGAGCTGCAGGCAAGAAGTGGGAGCTTGAAACAGTGGTAAAAGCCAGAGAAAGGGCGAGGTTGAACGTGGTAGTCTGCGAAGCTGGAGCGCTGGTGCCTGGCTCTAATGCTCTGCTGATAGAGGAAGGTCCCAGGGTTCTCTTGGGTAAGTTCCATTTTGTCTTGTTCTTCAGCATGGATGAGGAAGGAAGAAGCTTCCCTCAGTTTTGGTGCTGTGGTGCATTCTCCATCCTGCTGATTTTGGAAGCCCAGTACTGAAGGCTTACTTAATCCTTGTACTCGGTTTTAATTGTTTGACTTGCTGTCAAGGTCTGCTCACTTCACTTTGCATTGGAGTTGCTCTTCTCCACCAGCTTGGAAGTCCATCCAACACGGCTTGGATCATAGACTCATGGATAGTTTAGGTTGGTCAGGAGGCCTGCCTCCTGCTCAAAGCAGGGTCACTTACACGCTGCTCTGTTCCCTTCCAGGGCTCACCACCTTCTCAGCTGAGTGGGTCTGACCTTGCTCCTCTGATGCTATTGCGTGGGCTGGGAGTGGGAGCAGGAATAGGTTGCAAACGGGGTTTTCAGTGTTCTGTAAGTCAGATCAGAGGTGCAGTACTTAGCTGACATCAGGACCCTTCATGTGCGATGTTCTCTTTGGTGGGCATACAGTTACATTTGCCCATGCTTCTCATAGGCACACATCAAAATCTGTCCTAAGAGTCTATAAACTGGCCAGTAGCTTTAAAGGAATTTTAGAGTGTGTCTGGTTCACAGAAATGATTGAGATGGGAAGAAGCATCTCTTGTGCAGTGCGACTGTTCTCTTTGTTGTCGCGTGAGAGCGATGAAGCGCTATTGACAGCCTTTTCTCTGATGGTCTTGAGCTGATCACGTCCTAGATGAACTCACTCAGTTGCTGTACTGACTGTAGTGGGACTGCTGGTAAACATAGTCCTTTCAGACCTAATCTCAGCTCAGTGACGTTCTCTTGAGTTCCTAGGGATGCTGCGGGTCTCCAGAGATACCTGCAGCCTGGTAATCAAGCCCCGGGCAAATGCAGTAAGATTAGAGATGGAGAGAGTAAAATCCTGACTCTCTCAAAGCTGGCATTTCCATGTGTGGTTAGATGGCGTCTTATTGCAAGAGATTCTGTGCTGTATTCTGCAAAATCTAGGTGCAAAGCTGCAATTTCTTGGATTGGTGACTTCTTCACACTTAAATCTCTTTATAGTCCTAACTTAATTCTTTTAAACACCTCTGCACTTTTTTTTTGCAAGTGGAGGTGATGCTCTCCCTCTGTACCTTACTAGTGTAGGGCAGAAAATTGGAGACAAATTAATGGCAGACCCAGTGGAGTCTTTTGTATGTAAAGACTCTGGATTTGTCTTACCACGTGGTGGTATTTTTCTTAATAAACTCGTTTGAAGTGCTGTCTGGTATTGGTTTTTTTTTATGGAGTGTTTTATTATCATTGCTCTTGGCCTGTAGATCGTAGTGTGACTTCTCTGAGATGTGGTCTATAATGCATTAAGTGCATGGAACAGAAACCTGCCCTTTGCAGGCAGTGTAATTCTCCAGTGTCGGGGCTTTCTCTGTGGCTCTGAAGGGTTTTAGATTTAGTTCTGCACAAGTGACAATGGCTGTGGTAAAGCAGCGCAACTAATGGCCTTCAGAGTAATCTTGAAGGAATTATGTGAGAAAGTAAAACATAAGCATTGCTGCAGCTATAATAGATTCCCCAATACCTGGTTGCTTGTCACTTTGGTTCTCTGGTTATATGAGGTTTGATTTTCTTCAGAGAATATCCTTCGTGTCCAGGAGTGTGGGTTTTTTTTCTTCAGGCTGTGCACCCAACAGTGTGCTTCAGAAGGATTTGGAGATTGTTTTCTCTGTGTGGTGGAGGCAGGTTGGCTGTTGTGACTGTGCCAGCAGCAGGTGAGAGGTGGAGGAGCTGTAGCTGAGTTTATTGCAGCAAGGAGCAGAGGGGTCTGCTGGAATGCCGTGCTGGAGCTAGGACTGAGAGTGGGGGGAGCCAAAGGGACAGGATCAGTGAGCTCATCTCCACCTCGGTTCTTTGGTAGTCGTCACAGAGCAGGAAAGAGCAGAATTGCTTGGAGCAGAGAGAGGAAAGGATGAAAGCAAGAGGAGAGAAGGAGGCAGAGGCATGGGTTACCCTTTAAACACGAAGAGGCAGCAGCCCTGAGTCCCTGTAGGAGGTGCAATGCTTGCCATGAAGCTGTAGCAGCACCGTGCTTCTGCCGCCCCGTCAGCACGCTCGTGTCGCCCTCTCTGATGCTGGGGAGCTCTGGCGTGGGCAGGCAGGGTGCTGTGCCCACCATGGAGCTGGGGGGAACCTGGAGCTCCTCTTGCTCCATCCTCTGGCTGCTGGGTCACAGCAGCAGCAATGTGGATGTCTCTGCGTTTGCTTTGCTCAAGCAACAGGCCTTGCTATGCAGGGGGATTTATACAGGGGGTTTACTTTTGGAGTAAAGCACTACCCCCAGGGGCTAACTGCGCTCACCGGTTAGTTTTCTTGCAACGAATTGCTGTGATTTCAGAACTGCTGAGTTCAGGGTCTTGAAAGTGAGGAGGCATTCTCGGGGGGAATTTTTAAAGATTTCTTTAGTTGCATCTGCTTTAGAGTACAAACACAGCTTCACAAAGCCGCTGCTCTTGTTGAGGTAGTTTCTGTAAGGTGCAGTTAGGCCCCCAAAAATCAGGCTGGGTCCTCCTTAGCCATGCTAAAGTCCCTGGGCCTGTGTGGCCCGGCCCCTCATCAGCACCTGCCCGGATGCTGTGCCCAAGGCGTTGAGGACAGATTGCTGTTCAGTTTAGTCTTGGAGAAGAGACAGTGGAAAGGGGACGTGTTAGATCTTCAAATATGTAAGAGATTGCTTCAAGAAGGGAGGGATCAAAAGTTTTCTCTGCATCCTCTGTGGGCAGGACAAGACTTACCTTAGAGCAAGAGACACATTAGACGTTGGGAAACACATTTCTGAGCATTAAAGAATATTAAACAATGGAATTGATTGCTGAGGGAAAATGAAATTGCTGTGGTAGATATTGCGTGGCGCGGAGAATGGACTAGCTGGCCTCCCGGCACCTCTGCCAGTCCTGCTTCTCTATGACTCCTGATTTGCAATTGTAAATGTAATAACTTTTTAAGCAGCTGGATATCTCAAAGTGAATTTGTAACTGAAGATATTCCAGCCCACCAATTTAAAGTCCTTTTTTTTTTTTTTTTTCTTTTGTTAAGTTAATTATTCTTTACAAGGAAAAAAAAAAAAATCCACAGATTAAAACCATTGGGCTAGAAAACTGTTGGGTTTGGATAAAAGTGAAGCCTCAGACGCTGGAATGTATTTCATAGGCAGTAATCAGCCATTGAGTGTGCCAAACAAATATAAGTGCATCAAAAAGGCCTTTCATATAGTAAGACGTATTTTAAAATAAATGGGCCCTTTCGTTTGAACATACGTTTTGCTTTGGAATCGGCCTGAGATGCTTTTCAAACAAGACCAGCTCTCCTTCAGACAGCAGAGGCACAACCCTGTTTCCCTTTCTGTCTTTGTGCTGTGGCTCAGCGGCTCTCTCCTCGTTTAATCAGCAAGAGAGTGAGGTCTCCTGACAAAATTTTGACAGATGTCTGGCTGCAGACAGCAGGGAGTAAGGCTGCAGGAATGTCACCGCCCACAGAGGGTGTGTGACAGGGTGCAGGTCCTTCCGAAGCTTCGTCCCTGGAGGTGAAATTCTGCCCTATTCAGAACAAAACCAGTTTTTAGGAGTCGTTGCCATGGTTCAAGATAGTTACAAGGTCTGCCGGGTAGCTGTGAAGTATCTGTCGCTTCCATTGAAGAAACGGGGATTTTGCTTGTGTTCAGGCTTCCAGCATGGGTCACAGGCCCTAAGCAGCCCTGCTTTCTGCTCCCATGGGGGATGTGTCTTCCCCAGTCACGTTTGCAGCCTGCCTGCCAGTCAACCCCTTCCCTTCCCTGGGGGCTACAGGTGCACCAGACATACAAAAGGCAGGCCCGTGGGCACTTGGCAAAAAGTTTCTTTAAACCCATAAATGCAAACGAAATCTAGTGTTAGCTCCTTTTTCCTTTCAGTAGGAGTAATTGGAGCTGAGGTTTTATACATAGTAGTAATATATGCATAAAATCCATTCAGTTCTAGAAATGTGATAAACTGTTGTTTAAATCAAAGTCATTCAGTCCCAAACAGCAAGAGAAATGGACGAAAGTGAGAGCTGAAAAATAAGAGAAAGGAACAGAAGCTGCAGATATTTAGCTCCAGGTACTTATCCTCGCTGCGCTAGGAAATGACATTATGAATAGGTTCATAAAGGGTGAATTCGTTATCGGTTGGACTTTTAGATCAAGAGTAGGTGTCGTAGTTTCACTGTAAATGCTTGTCTCGCTGTAGGAATTGCCGAGCAAAATGCATGCCCCATGTTAGCAGGAAGTCAGAGTTAGATGGTCATGATCTTTTCTGTCCTTTCAGATTTACAGGGCAAATATACCCCAGCAGCACATAGAAATGCACGCTTAAGGTACTCCTGTAATTGCAGCTTTGTGGACTCCTGCCCTTCCCGTACATGATCCTGGTTTACATTAGTTTCTGATCCAGCAATCCCTTTTTCTAAATTACTCTTATTTTCTAATAGAATGGGGACCCTGACAGATTTATATAGTACTACTTAGAAAAAGAAAACAACCCAAAGTTGGAATCTTAAAGTGTTTAAACTATTACAGAGCAATATCAACTTCTTTGATTGCGTGGTCTTTTGTTTGCTTGCTTGTTTTAAAAGGCAGAAACTCTGAATGTTATTTAGGAACCAATAAGCCAGATCAAACTACTTGTCTCTTAGACAAATGCGATTTTTGAGGCTGTCCTGAGCTGTCTCCAAGATGCATGTGTCCTCCATGCAGTTGCTACCAATGCCTTTTGCTTATGGCTTTTTCTCCCTTTTCCCTTTGGCTTGTTTGTTTGCAGAAAAAAATGGACAGTCGGGAATACCAGGATGCGCAAGGTTTTGCAGCAGATATTCGGTTAATGTTCTCTAATTGTTACAAGTACAATCCTCCAGACCACGAAGTGGTAGCGATGGCCAGGAAGCTCCAGGTAAAGGTGTTGGCACATGCGTCTTCCAGAGTATGTTTAGTTCAGCTACGAGGTTGTTGATTCAGAGATCCAAGTGTGGATCTGCTCGTGGCACCAAGGGCGAGTTGGTGATTCCTCCGGCCCTTGGAAAGAGCCATGTTCTCTGCTGCAGAACTGTTGTGCTCTTCACGTGGCATGGCCCAAGGCCACATTCTGCTCCTAAAATGTTATAATTGTTGCTGTATAAAGTAATGGGAGAATTTTCTTGGGCCTACAGACTATGTGTGCCCATCAGTACATTATTATTTACTTGTATAGCAGCTCGCGTAGTGCAGTAAGACCCGCACCCATGGTGGGGTGTCTGGTGTCTTTAAAAGGCCAGAGTGAGCTCTTTGTGGCCGAGGCTCCTTTTGTCACCACTTTTTTCCCCCTTTTTATAGGATGTCTTTGAGATGAGGTTCGCAAAAATGCCTGATGAGCCTGCGGAGGCCCCACCTCCGCCTCCACCAACAGCACCAGTGGTGAGCAAAAGCACAGAGAGCAGTCACAGCAGTGAGGAGAGCTCTTCCGGCTCGGACAGCTCGGACTCGGAAGAAGAGCGAGCGACTCGGCTGGCGGAGCTCCAGGAGCAGGTATTGCAATGGCCAGGCTGTGTGTCTGTGGAGTAGAAAGGGCAGAGCAGGAGGAAGGGCTTAATTTTGTTCTTAAAAATCCCATCGAGGCCGGATGCAGTAAGGCAATCTCCCCTCCTGCCACCCCAATGGGAAGAATGCTTAGCTGTGAAATCAGCGCTTGTTTGATGTAATGTTGGTTTTCTTTGAGGTAGCGGTTCTCGGTGCTGGTGCTCTGTGCTTCCTTCTGGGATCCCAGAGAATGAGTGAAGGTGCACACAGTACTAGGGGTCTGGGAAGAACAGAGACCCCCATGTTGTAGGAGAGCTCAGGCGTAACGAAATCTGTCACAGGCTTCCTGTGGGATATTGTCCCCCTGTACCCAGCCTGTAGAAGGGACCTGTTTTAACTGTTGTGGTAGCAAACCCTTGAGCCATGGCCTTTCTTAGTGAGCGGGTGTACAACGCCAGCTGCTGTGGTGCTCATGTGTGCTTCCATAACACAGCAAAGCATTGATAAAACAGCTTATCCAGTGTCTCAAAGCAAGCTGGAAGGAGAGCAAAGAAGTGAACCCTGGATTACAGAGGCCAAGCTGTCAGCGCTCTAGACGGAGCTATGAAGCTTAATTTTTATTTGCCCCTGTATAACAAGAATGACATTTTCATTTGAGTCAGCTTCTGCGTTCTTACACTGCATTTTTGAAAGAATTTCAAATCAAGCAAAGTCTTCTGAGTTCAGTCGCTGCTTGATCGCTGACTTTGGGATATTCTTACGTGTTGGGATGTAGAGGAAGGGAATGTGGAGGCATCCGTTCTCTCGCCTTGAAGTCTGATTAATTTTTTCACTGTCCTCCCCCAGCTAAAGGCCGTCCATGAGCAGCTAGCTGCATTGTCACAAGCGCCAGTGAACAAACCAAAGAAAAAAAAAGAGAAGAAGGAGAAAGAGAAAAAAAAGAAAGACAAAGAGAAGGAAAAAGAAAAGCACAAAGTAAAAGCTGAGGAGGAGAAGAAACCCAAGGTGGCTCAACCACCAAAACAAACCCAACAGAAGAAAGCCCCAGCTAAGAAAGCAAACAGCACAACCACAGCTAACAGGTGAGAGCCTGCCTGCTGCAGGTTGCCTTAAGGGGAATGCCGAGAGCTTCCAGCCCAGTTCTCCTGTCCCTCCTGTCCCTGTTGAATTCCTGATGAAGCTCAGTTGTCAGAGCCGTTGGATAGCGTCCCCATTCCCAGACAACTCCAGAGAGTCTTTAAGTTAGAGCTGGCAGGGGAACCATCCTCTTTCCACTGTCCAACCCGCTCAGAATCCCTGCCGGATCACTCTCAGATAAGGTTTTGCTTTTTGTCTTTTGCACAGCCAGCAAGAACGTGCCATTTCGGTGCTGCCCCCCTGCTGCTACATGGGCTTGTTGTCCTGCCTCATAGGGCTAAAATATAATAGGAGTAGAACAGCTGATCTCAGATTTCTGAACTTTTTCAGAAGTTGTGGTGCTGTTCAAGCCGTCTGGCTAGAGGTTCAAAGCCAAGAGCATTGGGACGTTACGAGGGGGGGTAGAAAAGCAGAGTGCATTGCTTCTATATACCCATGAATGTTTCCATGCTTGCCAACTCCCCCAGGCAGCCCAAGAAAGGAGGCAAACAAGCATCTGCAACCTATGATTCAGATGAGGAGGAGGAAGGTCTGCCCATGACCTATGATGAGAAACGACAGCTCAGCTTGGACATCAACCGCCTGCCTGGGGAGAAGCTGGGCAGAGTGGTGCACATCATCCAGTCACGGGAACCTTCCCTCAGAGACTCCAATCCCGACGAGATAGAAATAGATTTTGAAACGTTGAAGCCCACAACTTTACGAGAACTGGAGAGATACGTGAAATCTTGTTTACAGAAAAAACAAAGGAAACCATTTTGTAAGTTACCTCCTGGGGCACGCATTCCCCCACAAGCTCTTGGGCTCAGCTTTGGAGTCAGGGCATGTGTGTTGGGATTCTCTTTTCCAGCTGTTGGGTATGTGCTGACAGGGATTTTTAGGAGATTCTTTTCCCCGTGAAAATCTACAGAAGCTTTCTATATTTTCCTGTTCTTTCTTCCCGTGATGTCCTGCTGTGGAGACCTGGAGGACTATTGTGTTCCTCTACAAGACCTGTGTGAAAACCTTTATTGCTTATCTAGAAGCCAATATGAAGGTTTCTGTCTCACTGTGTTAGGTGTTACGTGCACACATCTGGAAGGATCAGTTGCTTATCCTGAATAGTTCAGCATCTAATTAGGAAGGAAACAAAAAGCATGGTTGGGATCCAAAACACCAAGGGGATAAATAGCTTGCACAAAGTTACCTGGGCAGCCTGTGGATTTGGGGTGTAAGTGTCTGGGTTGTATATTCACCCCAAAACTGCTCCTGCTAGGTGGCCTGATCACCGTACTGCCCTCAGTCCCTCTCAGATCAGAGGATTAACGTTCATGAGCTGCTGAGCGGATGGTTCAGAACGGGACAGGCTTTTCTCTAGGCCTCATCCACAGAGAGTGAATTGTTGTGGCCCCTTGAGAGCTGAGCTCCAGCTGAACAGTAATAGGATCACTTACCTGAACTGGTCCTGGCTCTGTTCCTCTGCTTGTCCGTTAAGAGGCAGTTGTCCTGTTAAGAGTGTAACACAACAGCTATTCGTAACTCTTGCAGAGCACCTCCATTTCTTCACCCCAGGATTTTCAGGTAGGCCTAAGCAAAGCTTAGACTTTGACTCTTCTTTTTGGGTTTTAATACACTGCTTTGAATGTTTTGGGTTTTTTTTTCCCCTTGAGTCCTTTACTATTGGAATAGCTCGGGAAAAGATTTTCCAGAGTGGTTAGGAACAAGAAGCTTCCTTTTGTTTTGGAGCCAAAGCACAGAGTAACACAGATAGCCTCAGATGTCCGCTCCTCTGAGACTGGTCTGCCCTGGGCTGGCAGGCTGGCATGCCTGACCCCCGCTGGACTCTCGTGCTGTCTGCTGTCTAGTGCAATGCTCCGTGTTCAGGGGAGCACCCTCTTAGGCCTCTGCTTTCCAGATTTCCCTTTTTTTTTTTTTTTTTTTTAAATCATTGCTTTAAAACAGCACACAGAAATGTAGGTATTTCCTTGCTGGATCCGGCAAAATATCTGGCCCCTGTCTTGTGCTTCTGATACTGGCCAACACCTGTGTTCAGTTACTGCTTCGTGGGAGGGATATTTCTTCTCCTCAGAAGTATGAGTATTGCTGGTACTTGTCACCGTTTCCATCCTAACTGATGCAGCTACATCCCTGTTGCCTGCAAGCCTTTGCCTCAGTTGGTTTTTAATTTGCCCTTTTTGTTTTCTTTTCTACTTCAAACAACATAAAACATGGTAGGTTCTTGCATGAGGTATCTTAAGTTTTAATGGCAGATGCTTACTTCTGACAGCCTTTAATGGGACACTTTATTTTACAGGGCAGAAAACCCATGTAATAATTCTGTAATTAAAAAATGTGTAACTATTGACCATGTAACTGCCTGGTAAGTAACCTCTAACTACAAGGTTATTACATGGATATTTCTATCTTCTAAAATACTTCTCAGAAGAGCTCTCTTAAAAAGTGCATGTTACAGGATGATGGTGACTGAATGATCTAGACAACTTCAAATGTTGTCCTCTGCCTGGAATTAGTTGCTGTAAGGTCACTTGATCTTAGCAGCGTCATTGCAAAGTGCTTGCAGAGTTATGTGCCCTGTAAAATAGTCCTGTCCAGTCTTTTTCGCCTGCAACCATGCAGTTTCAGAAATTGTGCATTCCTCCTCCACAGCTGCAAGTGGAAAAAAACAAGCAGCAAAGTCAAAAGAAGAGTTAGCTCAGGAAAAGAAGAAAGAACTAGAAAAACGGTTACAGGACGTCAGTGGGCAGCTAAACAACAACAAGAAACCTGCAAAGAAAGGTAATGGCTTTGGTTTTACCGTGCTAACAATGCCCGAGAAGCTGTGTGTGTGGCTACACCTCCTCACCGAGGCAGAACTACTGCCGCCTTGTAGCCCTTGGTTTATCTCTGACAGTTACCCCGGTTGGTCACTGGTGTCGGGGCACAGTGAGGTGCTGCTGGGCACTGAGCTACTGTGTGGGGGCTGCTTTGGTCCCTGCCCAGGTGGAAGCTCTCCTGGGTGGTAAATGTGAGGTGTCACGGAGGCAAGTCCTCCTTCAGAGGGAGGAAGGTCTTCTCTGTGTTAGCCCGTGCAGGGCTGTGCGTACAGACCGGTACAGCGGAGCCTCAAACAGATGGGTTTTCTCCATTGTGGGATTAAAAAAAGCCCGAGCCCCCACATAGTGCAGTAGCGTGAAAGATGGTACAAAAACAAGGCGGTTCTTCCAGTGCAATCGAAGCTGCTTCTGGTTTCGCACGAGTCAGGGTTTTCTTGCATCAGAGGTTGCGCTGGAGCAGGTGAGGCTGCGGACGCGGCTCCCCCGGTGCTCTGCCCCGTCGGGCCGTGGAGGACATTGCCCTCTCGTAGAGCTCCTGTGCGGATCCCAAACTTTCATGGTCACCTGCAGCCTGGGAACCCTCGCTGTCCTCTGACAGACCTTGTTGCAGCCAGCAAAGGCTGCGAGCGAATGAGCTGCCCGGGCGAAATGCAGTGGTGAACGCAGCCGTGAGGGATGAAGGCTGTGGGCCAACCTCTGTTTCGGTTCCTTGCGAGTAACCCCATCGCTGCCTTCTTCCCCGCAGAGAAATCCGGCTCGGCTCCCTCCGGAGGCCCATCCCGGCTCAGCAGCAGCAGCTCCTCCGAGTCCGGGAGCAGCAGCTCCAGCGGCTCCAGCTCGGACAGCAGCGATTCGGAATGAGTTACGGACACTTACACACAAACCCAAAATGGACATCACCCTCACCGATGCTCTGCAGTGTTCCTTTCTCTCCTTAATATACTGCTCTTGTTCCACGGTGGTCAGGTTTTTTTTTCCCCCCCTCTCTCTTTCTCTGACTTTTTTATTTTGTTTTTTAATTCAGTGTTATAAAAGGTATCTTCCATTTTTTTGGGGGGCGCTCTTTTAATAGGTCAAAGATCTTTGCGTGTGCGTGTGTGTGTGACTAGACTTTATGACAAATAGTTCCCTTTGCATAAAGTCTCTAAAATACATTTTAACTGAAGAAGATTGGTTGAAAATGGAAGAACTTTGAACTCTTAGCAGGAGATAAATAGAAAGTTCTGCAAGGTTTGTAGTACATTTCCTTCCTGCCCCTTCTGTCTCCCCAGAATGTTCTCTTTTAATAAGCCTACCTGGCTCACACAAGGTAAAAAAAAACATCTTTTTTAAAAGAAATCTCTGTAAAATGGTACTGTATCTGAAAGATGTTAGCTTTTGAACTAGTTGGTGTATTTGTTATTAGCACTAGTATTCTTAATCTCGAAGTCTACAGTGTGATGAAAATGTCAGATGCTATCATCTTTTTACATAAAAACAAAAACAAACAAAAAAATTCTCATGTACTGTGGATTGCTAACATGCTTTTTTTCAATCTTGGTAGAGGCATAGGCACCTGGTCAGGAAGGTATTTAAGCATGAATTTAACTTTAAGCACATGAGCAATACAATTTAAATGCAGGTTGCATTTGGGTTTTTTCCACTCAAGTTTTTAATTTTTCTTGGGGGTCTGTTGGGACGAAGGGAGCAAGGGACACTCAAATTTCTTGGGAATGTTATTTTTAACATCAGATAGATAACTTCCAGGCAATGGACACTCTCGATGAAGGTTTTCATTTAATTGAAAATGGGTTTTGGCTGAAAGTTCTCAGCTGGACCTCAGAGTGATCCCTGCAGCGACCAGGGCAAGTCATGTGCTCATTACTAGACACGTGCTTAAGTATTTTCTCCATGACAAGCACCTCAGTCTGAGCTTGAAATAAAGGAGCACTTGAGCTCCAGCTGAGGCTGAGCTGGCAGGGGAATTGGAGAGGGATGTTGTGTGTGTTTGGGTGGAATTTTTTTCCTCTCTCCTTGTTATTTCAGTAGTGAGCTCCTAGAAAGGGAATGCTACTTCTGTGTCATGCAGGGTGCAGGTTTCCAGGCACTGAAATGCTTACCTCAATAAAAAGAGGGGAGGGAGAAAAAAAAAAGGAAAGAGACAGGTTTTTAAGGCTTGCAGTTTTTTGAGTCCAGCCTAATGTTTTGACCTGCACTGCTGCAATACACTCTGTTTTCACTGTCCCGAATTCCATGTATATACAAGTGTTTTATTTATTAAACACCATTGGTCATTTAAAACTTAATAAAAAAATAACAAAAGCAAAACTGCATTATGCAGACCAGCAGAAATGCAGACTTATAATTTGGGGTTTTTTAATCTGGTTCGAACCACAACAACAACAAAGCAAATAAAAATCTGGGACTTTAAATACATTGGACTTTATACCTACAGGTGCTACAGTCCAGTCGTCGTGTGTCTGGTGCTCTGTCATGTTTGGTGTGTTCATTTTTTGATTTGTTTTCTCTCTTCTTTCTCTTTTTACCCCAGCCCCCTTTTTTCCTGTTATGTACAGATTTTGGGGACATACAGGTAGATACAGTTTCTTGATGCAGCACGTTGTTATTTTCTGTAATATTTCCAGAGGTCATTTTCCCCCTCTTTTTTTTTTTTTTTTTTGTAGATTAGTGGGTTTTTTTTCTTTTATAATGCAATTTTAGGAAAACACCAGTTCTATAATTATATAAAATTTGTAACCCGAGGGGCAGAAATTTATTGTAAATTCTTAACTTTTTATTGTAAAGAAAAAAAATATACAGAGTTTAACAGAAAGTTATGCCTTTCCCTCTCCCAGCACCAGCCCCTAAGGCTGCCTCTCTGCTATGGGGTAGCCCGAAAATTCACCCTGCTGCCGTCTCTACTAGTGGTTTGCCAGAGGCCCCGTGGTGCCGATCGCCCCGGCCTTGTTTTTCACGTGGGTGAGCGGCCCTGGGGGACTCCTGAGCCCCAGCCCACGATTTCCTTTGCACCCGCAGCCTCCGGGAGCTGGGACAGGAGGTCGGGTGGGGTCTGGGGGACATCCCTTTGTGGGAAGGCTGGGGAAGGCAGGGCCAGCCTGTCGCTCGCACTCCATGGTTTGCACTTCTGACCGCCTCCTCGCTCAGCTGCCAGTCGCTTACTGCCCATCGGCCGAGGTTTTATTAGGCAGACGCTTACTCGTCTGTCTCAGACTGTCTCACGCGTAGTTTTCAGATCTGGCTTTCAAAGATCAGCGTTTCGGGGTGTTCAGATGTGCGTCTCCTACAGCTGACGTGCCTCTCTCTGTGTGTCTTACCCGTATAGCGGCCGTAACACACTCTCCACAGTTGGCTGCGAAAAGAATTCCCCCTTTTTTTTCTCGCTAAGGGCTGAGAGAGCGATGCTGTGCTGCTGTGTGGCACCGAGTTCCTCTGGTAAGCTGCTGGGCGTCTCGTTGTGCAATCACCAGGGTGCTCGGCCCCGTGGCAGGAGGTTCTCAAGTCTTTGCAGAAAGTTTCCCATAGTAGTTGAAAGCGGATGAACTGGGGTATTCCAGTTCTTACGGAAATCAATGATTTTTCTTTTCCATTAACAATGGAGTTATTTTATTTGCTGTATGATTTTTAAATTCTGCCCTTAAAAAAAAAAAAAAATCTTGCCCATGGCAGAATTTGCAGAATTTACTATGGGGAGATGTAAAATACACCTAATTAAGAGCTTAGGGTTTTATTTTTAATGGGGTTAGGTCTCCTCTGTGTTTCTCCTGTGGTCTGAGACTTGCATTATCAAAACCAACTAGCGTTTTAGTTAAAACAATTGTAACCGATTCCATACCACGACAGCTCGGATAAACAAGCTCCCGCTTTTCCCTGCTCGAAACCTTTTCCTGCGGGCGTGAACCTGAGCTCTGCCAGCGGTGTGCCGGGGTGATCGCTCCCGCGTG